CGCGGCTAAAAATCCAAGGTACACGAAATAATTTCCAACTTTCTGCATTTTTTAACAAGCTTGGCTCATCACAGAAGTGGTGTGTCTTTCTTCGTCTAAGGATAACCTTTTTAATATAAAAAAATTATTTTCCGCTTACAAAATAAAGGCCCTACTATAATGTTTCCTCAAACCACATAATTTTTTAACGAAAGCAACGTAATAAGGTGTTGAACCATGGCAGTGGAATTATTAAGTAGGAAGAGAGAGGGTGGTGGGTGATGTCATGCGTGATATTCTCGCATTCCCTGGGGTTCGTCTGTAGCTTTATTCATGCTGTTACAGCCTGTGATTTGTCACTATCCATTACAGTGACGGAAACACACTGATTCTGAAACTGGTGTGTCATTCCAACCGCAACAACTATCGGAGGTAGCAGAACTTCTCATTAAATAATTTCGTGTGTACGTAATTCTTATAGACAGTGGCTCAGCAGTAAGTCTGTGGGCCAATACCGCTAAAAAAAACGGGTTTCGATACCCGAAGTGGGCACAGTACAGATAGACGTAGTGTAGCCTTGCGCTTAACAATATACAAACAAAACTTATAAAGCAAGTGAGGAATATAAAATACTCCTCCTCCCCGTTCAAAGTGTACGTGTATATGAATCGAAATTTGTTTGTATAAACAAGAACAATCAGAGAGTTTGTTTGTTTTGAATTTCGCGCAAAGCTACACGAGGGCTATCTGCGCTAGCCGTCCTTATAGGGAAGGCAGCTAGTGATCAACACCCACCGCCAACTCTTGGGTTACTCTTTTGCCAACGAATAATGGGATTGATCGTAACATTATAACGCCCCCACGGCTGAAAAGGCGAGCATGTTCGGTTGGACGGGGATTCGAACCCGCAGATTGCTAGTCGAGTGCCCTAACCACTTGGCCATGCCGGGTCCAATCATTGTATTGTATACCCTCGCTCTGCCACTCCTTTTCGAGATTGCACGCGTTTATATTGGATAGCGTAAAAATTTCAACTTAGAAAAACTCAGAAAATACTTCTCAGATCCGGAATGATAAAAGATTCTGATCATTTTTTTTGTAGTGTGATGAGGAGTCTTAACCTCTGCCTATGAAATTTGGTACAAATCTGATCACACTTTAAAGAGTTACTAACCGAAAACCGCGGAAATGCCCTATCTCCCCATTATATATAAAAAAAAAATGCTTCAAACTGATCCAGATCCCGACCAAATTTGGAGAGGACTGTCCCATACTGACTTCCCATCTTTTGTAAAAATTTCGTGCACATCGGTCTATCAGCTTTCGAGATACGCTCGCGGAGACACACGTGGGCCCGATTGCGATATCGTCGCGGGGCGAGGGTAATTAACTGAAATCCTAAGTATAAAGTTAAGGCAAAGTTATTTGTGATGTTGCTTCCAACATAAACCACGTTCATTTCAGACAATTTGTAATAAAATCTGTTTATTTATAGTTTTTGTTTCCTCATTGTGTTTGGTCTTGTTTTATACCACGAATGTCGCTTACTAATAATTAAATAATTATTACATAACATGTCCTCCCTCTAACTTTGATTTTAATTACTTTCATAAATGTTCTTATCTTACCCATGACTCAGATTTTTTCAAGGAATATTTTCGTAAAAGTTCATGAAGACGGGAAAGTCAACTGTGATCAATTGTCTTTATCATTAGTAGCTTCAA